CTGCACACCGTGAAGGGAACCCCCTTCGAGACCCCGGACCAGGGCAAGGCCCGGCTGCTCACACACTGGGAGCAGATGGATTATGGAGTCCAGTTCACCGCTTCCCGCAAGTTCCTCACCATCATGCCCATCGTCCTGTGAGTATTCTGGGGTGGCTGAGCTGCCTCGTGTCCCAGTACCCATCAGTGTTCTGTCCTGGGAGACAAACACACGGGATGCCACAGCTCAGTTTAAACTCTCCCTCTGTTCCCACCTTCCCTTTCCAGGTATTTTCTAACCAGCTTTTACACCAAGTACGACCGGATACACTTCATCATCAACACCATCTCCCTCATGAGCGTCCTGATCCCCAAACTGCCTCAGTTCCACGGAGTCCGGATCTTTGGGATCAACAAGTACTGAGCAGCGTGGCCAGAGCGGATGGCGGAGGAGTGGGGCAAAGGGGGGGTTCCTTCTCTCCAGCCCCATTTCCTCCCCCAACACAGACTGGGATGTGGTTTTGCAGCAGCTGTTTAAAGCAGATCCCAACAGACACATTCCGCATGCTGGATCCTCGTGCCCAATAAATCCAAGCCAGCTCCAGAGTAGAGTTTAGAGCGGAGCAGGATGTGCGACACCGGATTTCTCTTATCCCAGGGTCATCAATAGATGCAAAACCACTGAGACTTTGAGGTACAACAAGGATGAATTTTGGGAAGAGTCTCATCTATTCCAGACATGGAATGTCAAGGATAGGGATGAGGGGAAAAGCTTTTAGTGCTGGTACTATTGCTGTGGTAAATGCACTTTAAAATACATTTCCCTTCCTGAAGCTGGGTGCTTTGAGCAGAACGTGAGGGAAATCCAAAGGGATACAGCCAGACTTTCCCAGGACTGGATTGTTTTGGGGTCTGATTTCCAGTTTTAGGTGGGAAGTGGGAGGGGGAAGTGAATGACAGATTTTTACTTTGCAGTTGTTGACACCACTGAGAGGGAAAGTTCTTTTCCTAAAAACAGCACAGGAAGGAATGACCTGCAGTTTAACAAACCTTTTGGTTTCCTACAGCACCATCCATGTGTTCCAGGGGAAAGGTGGATAGATCCCAAATCATGCTTGTTATTTTCAGCTTATACCCAAATCTGCCCAGGTAACTCCTCTCCTCACCCCAAACTGCTGTTTTTCAGTGCAGAGGGGCTCAGTGGGCATTTGGATCAAGGGCTGGGGGCAGGTGATTTAATGACTGACTACAAATGCCATGGAGCTCCTTGGAACATGGACATGGACAGGTGTGGGAGAGGCTGACAATGGGCAGGTACAGGAGGAGGGCTGATTGCTCTAATCAAGCACGCAGCCATCCCTGACTTGGAATTCTTCTCCTCACTTCAGCATGTAAATGGTATTTGCCATTTCTCCATGGACTCAAGGGTTGGATTTCTGGCTTACCTGGAAATCTGTCCCTCAGCTCCATGGCCAAGGGCTGTGTGAGCAGCAGCACCAGCAGCAGATGAATTGACCAGCAGAAGGAGTCGATTGGTCACTGATAATAGATCCTTTCACACAGGAACAAAATAAGCCATTTTCCCTCTAAAATTACCACCTAAATAAAGCAGGCTTAGGTTTCCTGGCTGAGACAGCTTTTACTGTTTTACTGAAAATCAGAATGACCTGATTTTCCTTTGGGTTGTATCCCAGATGGAATGTGTTTTCCCTCACTCTTCCCGTGTAACCCCACGAATACCTGTATTTTTGTTGTCTTAGTGCTTATATTGTCTCACCTTTTCTGACAATGGTATAAATCTTTTAAATCTGCTCTTTTTTTTTTTGTCCCTGCAGTAGCAAATCCAGCTTTAGAGGCCATGGTGGAGAGTGTTGAGGTTTTGGATGGTCTGAGCATAGGACATGGAAGGGGGAATTTCAGATCTCTTACTACTTCATGCATAATTTTAGGCAAGTTGCTTCACTTCTCTCTCAGACTTCCTATGGGACTGCTACAGGGAAGGAAAAATATGGAATGTACCTCAGAGGGCTGCTGGAATGCAGGGAGAATCATTCCCTAATGTGTTTGAAAAGTGTAAATCCAAGTGAAAAGAAAGTTTTCAAGCAGGTAGAAGGAGAAGAGTGTCTGGCTGGAGACCCCAGGGTATTGACAGATGTGCAATTTCCTTGATGGGCAGTTTAAACCTTCAAACCTAGGATAGAAGAGCTGCTGCTTTAGCTAAGGTACTCTCTACCCTAATCGGCTCTTTAAGCTACTAGACAATGATAATTGTGATAAAAATAGAGATATTTCATCAATCAGCTGGGAAATAGACAGACATGAGCAGTATTCCTGCAGAAAAGGCAGCTCCAAGGACGGACAGGTCCTGGCAGGGCAGCTGAGGCTGGACCTGAAATGCTGATTGTGGTGCTGAGCAGACCTGAGTGTCTGCCCAGACACCACTTCCATCTCCAGGGGAAACGAAAGAAAACTAATTATTGTCATAGAAAACATGGGAAAAAACTTTTTTTGCAACAGAAACAGCCTCTAGATGTTTTCAAACGTGACTCCTCACAGACAGACATATGCTGGGTATTTCTAAGTATATGCACATCACAGATTTGTAAATTTAGAATAATTATGAATTGAAAGGATTGGGGTTTTTTATGAAATACAGCAATTTCCAGAGTCTCCTTGAAGGCATTGACACAGCTGTGGGCTTGAACACTTGTATGGTCACTGACACTATGGACATGTGACTCTGTTTCCTTAAATTAAAGACCAACTGAATGGGATTATAAACTTATCAAACAAGCAGATTCTAAAGCCTAAATCCCCAAACTTGTAATTAAGACTCTGCCTAGCAATAAAAGTAAACTTTTTTTTGATTTCTCTGCTTCACACAAATGATCAAAACAGCCAATGCCAGATTCACGTGACACTCTTTACAACACAGGTGTGGCATTTTTCCATGGAATAACTGAGATTAACTTGGACTCAGTTAATCCAATCAAGGGAAACAAATGGAAACAGGAGAAATATGGATAGAAGCGAGTTGAAAAAAGATTTCATGTTCTGTTGTGGTGAGTTAAGTACCTATACATGATGAATAAGTATTTGAATAATTACACTTCGTGTAGCATCTTCCTTAAGATCCAAATTTAAGGGTAGGTGTCGGGATCAATCAAAAATAAAAAGCAGGAAGTTAATTGTAATTAAACCACCATTCTTGGGTGTACCTGATGCAGTCTGAAGTGAAAGAACAGCATGAGCAGGCTGAGGGATGGTCAGACGTGTCTTGGCAGGAGAGAGATCAGAGGTGAAGCCACACTGTGGGAGGAGAAACCAAAAGTGAGCAGAACTTTTTTGAGTGGAGTTTTCCCCAGGTGCCTGCATGGAGGAGGTAATTGTTACTGATTGTAAATGGGATTCTGATCACACTTGACAGATTTCCTCTCACACTTGTGCTGTATCATGACCAGGACAAGTTCCTACCTGGAGAGATCAACTCTCCTGTGATGGAGAAACAAACCCTGCTAAGAAGGTATTTTCTGTTTTGTTCTGCAATGCAAGAGAAAATCTTTTGAAAGGTTGGAAGCGTTCTCAGGAACTGGCAGCAGCCTGTCCCATCTTGTGCTTGGCAAAGCCTCCTCAGCCACTGTCAGCACCACGCACGAATCCACGGCGTACGGCCGTCCCTGCTCCAGGACACTCAGAAAACCAGCACGTCCTCCCAGCCTGGTGCTCCTCAATCAGGGATCCTGACCTGGGACTTGTTCCACAGAGCTACCAGCCTGGCAAATAGTCCAAACCTTTGCAGGAAAAAGCCTCTAAAATAAACTAAATGGAGGGCTACTTATTCTCATGTACTTTTCTGTTTGAATCACTGTTCAATTTTGGGTTGTTTTTAGAAGCTCGGTACTGGCCCTCGAGGAGGGAACAGCAGTGGGTTCACACATTAATATTCCTCCTTGTGACTTCTGTTGCTTTAGCATTACCTAGAATATCTTTTAAGCATGTGAGTGTTGGTGTGTCCATATCCTCCTTGGATCAGTTAAATCAGCTGAATTAGTTGGGAGGGTTTTTTAAAGGAATGTTCTGTACAAAGTTTTAGGGCTTTTTTCCCATAGCCTTGTTTTTGCTGTGGATACAGGAGTCTCATGTAGAGAACTTTCTAAAATAAAGTGTGAATATTTTTATTACTCCTTTGTACAGTATTCTAAGAGAGACTAATAAAAGTGAAGTATTCAGGTAAAAAGTTGCACTTGCCTCCTGGAATTTTCACATGGATGCCTTTTGCTGTCATACAAGCATGGCAATGACTACAGGAAACATGGAATGCCTTGTGCTGGAAGGCACCTTAAGGATCATCCATTCCTGCCTCTGCCATGGGCAGGGACACCTTCCACTCTCCCTCTGGGTAAACAGTGCCAGGGCCTGACCAGCCCCACAGGGAGAAATTCCTTGCCAACGTCCCCTCCTGAGTCCATTTTTCCATCTGTCAAAGAACAGCAGCATTACCTGGCTCTATCAAGTTGAATCATGCAATGATGGAATGCTTTGGGTTGAAGAAACTTCAAGCCCATCCACTCCCATGTGCTGCCAGAGGAAGGAAGACCTTCCTGTCCAGTCTGATGTTGGAGACTTCCAGGCATGGGCTTACATCTCCTACATCTATAGAATTTCAAGTTATCCAAAGTCCATATAATAAACTCTGCTCAAGGAGGTGTTACACAAGTAACAGCCGTTTGGAGGAAAGTAAACACTGGGGAGGAGAATGGTAAATAAAAAAAGTTGGGAATAACTCTGGGCAATAATAAAAGTGGTGTGAACAGCCAGGATCTGCCGGCAAGGATCAGATCTAATGCTGCAGCTGCCCAGGTGTTGCTTTGGGGAGCCTACTGTTAGCAAGATAAGAGAAATCAATTTACTCTTTTCCCAGGGTTTGTGGATGTGCCAGCTTCCTGTCAAACTCGCCACTCCCATACTTAGCAAAGACTGCCTCCCCTTTTAGCAGAGAGCCAGAGAACTTCTCCCAGTCCTGCTGCTCTCTAGAGCCCACATCACCTCAGCAGCTCCGTGGTCTGCTCTGCACACCCACTGCCCCACAAACAGGCGAGTGCATTATCCCAGAGCCTTGGGTATGGGAGAGGGTTGGTGGGAGCTCTCTTGTTAAATGCTCTTGTTTAGTTTTCCTCTCTTCTTGGAGACTTCCAGGGGAAAGAATCCGGAAGTGCTACTAACACTGAGCACACAAAGTATTTGTCTTTGGAATGATTCAAACGGAAAGAAAGTAGAGTTAGATGGGATGTTGGGAAGAAATTCCTCTGTGTGAGGGTGCTCAGCCACTGGCACGGGCCAGCTCACATCCCTGGCAGTGTCCAAGTCCAGGTTGGAAGGGGCTTGAAGCAATCTGGGATAGTGGAAGGTGTCCCTCGCCATGTTAGAGAAAGGAATGGAATGAGCTTTAAGGTCTCTTCCCACCCAAACCATTCTGGATTGCTCAATTTCCACAGCCTAACTCCATCCTGTAAAACATCTGAAAAATTAAACTGAATTTTTTTATTAAAACAAGCTGAGTCAGAAAAGAAACAGGGATTTCTTTCTGACACTCAATCACCCGTTCTCCCCTGCAGACAAACAGGGTCTCTCCGAGGAGCTGGACTGGGCTGATTTCTCTCTATTTTGGGGCACATTTCTCCCTAAAATAAACATCCTTAGAGTGTGCTAGCTGTGTTCTCTCTGCACCATAATTGGAGCTCACCAGCAAAGGAGGACGAGGCCAAACAAACCACAGCCCCTGCTGTTTCCTCTCCAAACACTCCCTGTGAAACTTGTGTCCCTGGGTAATACTATTTTGAAAACTACTTAATAATTAAAGTAACACTTTGTTACAACGTCCTGCTTAAGCTGTACAAGGGGGAATTTAGCACAGACATCAGGAAAAAGTTCTTCACTAAAAGAGTGATTGGTCACTGGAATTGTCTGCCCTGAGAGGTGGTGGAGGAATCATCCCTGCACATGTTTAAAAAAAGTGAGGAGGTGGCTCTCAGCACCATGATTTAGTTGATGAGGAATGTTAGGTCACAGGTTGGAGTAGATGATCTCAAAGGCCTTTTCCAACCTACTTCGTTCTGTGATTCTGTGCTATTATTTCAAGCAATTTGGCTTAATTTGTGCTGCATCTTTCCCAAGGCACAAATCCACTTGGCTTTGCTTCAAAACCTCAGCCACTGCAGAATGTTTAAAAAACTCACCAAATTCATCGCAAAGGAAATGGATCCATACAAAGAATTGGTCCCTGTCGAGAGCATTGCATACAATGAGCACTTCAGGCCTCTCTGTCTACTGAAAAAAAAGAGAAAATCAAAAACCATATTCCACCCAGCTCCCTACTACCAGCAGACAGGGTTCAAACTGCATGATGTGCTGCTGCCTGGAGAAGATGGTAAAAGCACAGGTAAAGCCCAAATTTATCAATCTGAATTTAAGAAATGCCATAGATAATATTTTTGAACCCTTTGTTTCTAAACAGTATCAGCTTCCCTATGTGTGATATACTTCCAGTGCTGAGTCTGTGTAATCCTGCTTAAGATAACAAATGAAATTATTTCAGAGTCCCTCCTTCAAGATTCCAGCCATATTACTCTCACAAAAACCAGCACAGACCAAGCTGATGGAGGTCTCAGCATTTCATTTGACCCTGCAAGTGTAGAAATGCATGGAGGTGCCTCCTTGTCCAAGGCAATTGCTATCAAGCCACAGAAGAAGAGTGTATCACTGCAATCACTGGAAGCACTGAAAAAAGAAAGGTAAGGAATGATAAAGGGAGCACACACACTCCAGTCAGCCTCCTCCAGCCTCCAGCACCAGGTTAACAATGGGTTTTCAAAAGCCTAAAACCAAGATTAAGACCTTAGGGCATGAATTTCCCCTAACTAGGCCAGGGTAGACAGAGAATGGAGTGACAAGATCCCTCCTGACTCTCCTCTTCTGCAAGCTTCCCCCGGTTGTGGTTTGACCCTGACGAAATGCCAGGCACTGACAAACGTCACTCACTCTCTCCCCTGCTACAGCTGGGTAGAAGAGAAAAAATTATACGAAGGGTTCATGAGTTGAGAAAACACTCTAGGGGCAAAACAGGCTCAACTTAGAGCTACAAAATGAGTTTATTCCTAACAAAATGAGAGGAGGATAATGAGAAATGAACTAAGCCTTTAAAAACACGTTTTTGCACCCCAGTCCCTCCCTCCTTCCCACCACCAGTGCCAGGGAAAGGGCAGGGGGGTTTTGGTCAGTTTGTCATCCGTGGTTTTCTTCTGCTGTTCAGGGAGAGGAGTCCTTCCCCTCCTAAGCTCTGGGGGTCCCTTCCCATGGGAGACAGCTCTCCGTGAACTCCTCCAGTGTATTTCTAAATCTCACGAGTAGCAGTCCTGCCAAAATTACTGCAAGAGGAGTCCTTCCCATTGGAAACAGTCCTCTCAAAACTGTGGTGTGGGTCACTTTCCCAGTCCTCCAAATGGTGGAGTCCTGCACCCCACCACGGGGTGCAGTCCTCCAAGGAGAGGCCGTTCCAGCTTGGGAGCAGGGACCCCCTCCACTGGATCACAGCCTCATCCAGGCATCCAGCTGCTCTGGCATGGGCAACTCTCCCAGGGTCTGTGGGTGGATCTCTGCATTCCCCATAGATCCCCAGGGGCTCTGGGTGGATCTCTGCATCTCCCATGGATCCCCATGGGCTGTGGGTGGGATCCTCATGGATCCCCATGGGCTGCAGGGGCACAGCTGCTTCACTGTGGGATTCACCACAGCCTCCACAGGAATCTTGGCTCTGGTGCCTGGAGCACCTCCTGCCCCTCCTTCTCCACTGGCCTTGGTGTCTCCATGTTCTTTCTTTCACATGTTCTCACCACCTCCTCTTCTCTGGCTAGGAAAAAACTGTGTCCAAATTTGTTTTGATTTTCTTCATTAAGTATTTTATCACAGAGGTGTTACCAACATCTCTCATTGGCCCAGGCTTGGCCAGCAGCATGTCCATCTTCAGAGCCATCAGGGACTGGCTCTGCCAGACATGGTGGAAGCTTCTGGCAGCTTCTCACCACAGCCACCTCTGTGGCCTCCCGCTACCGAAAACCAGCCATGGAAAACCAACACATCCCTCCAGCTGCATCAGCCACTCCTGGTGCTCCAGAACCTTCCTAAACTTTTCCTCTTTTAGACAAATCAACATGGATCATTCCTTCATCCGACAACTACAGAGAACTGACATCGATCTATATGTGGTGACTGAAATCCTCGAAACCTCAGAGGAGACTGTCTACAAGGAATCCACCAAGGCA